TCTATGCTATGAGTGGACGCCATAGTGCAGAGGCTTCTCCAGATGTTGTCACAGGTATTCTGACTGTTCAATCCCATGATGTGTATGCTCTTATTGATCCTGGGTCCGCCTTGTCCTATGTTACCCCTTATATTGCTATGGAATTTGGGAGATAGAGCCGGAACAGCTTCGTGAGCCATTCTCGGTATCTACTCTGATTGTTGAGTCTATTACGGCCGCGCGAGTTTATAGAGATTGTGTTGTTACGGTACGTGGTCGGGATACCATGGCCGATCTCATTGAATTGGGGATGGTTTATTTTGATGTAATAATAGGAATGTATTGGCTTTACTCATGTTTCGCAAAACTTGATTGTCGGACTAGAACCATGAGGCTTGAGTTTGCTAATGAGCCCGCTGTTAAATGGAAGGGAGATAATGTTGTGCCGGAAGGTCAGTTTACTTATTACCTTAAGGCCACTAAGATGATCAAGAAAGGGGTGTATCTATCATTTAGTCCGGGCTACAGACACCAATGCCGAGGCACCTAGCCTTGAGTTCGTGCCAATTGTGAATGAATTTTCAGATGTCTTTCCAGATGAGCTCCCTGGGATCCCACCAGACAGGGAGATTGATTTTGGGATCGATGTGATGCCAGGCACGCAGCCTATATCAATTCCACCTTATAAAATGGCGCCGGCAGAATTGAAGGATTTGTTAGAGAAGGGTTTCATCTGGCCGAGTGTGTCGCCATGGGGTGCACCGGCTTTGTTTTTAAGAAAGAAAGATGGATCGTTACGGATGTGTATTGACTACCGGCAACTCAACAAAGTCACTATCAAAAATAAATACCCTCTACCAAGGATAAATGACTTGTTTGATCAATTGCAAGGTGCTAAGTGCTTCTCAAAAATTGGCCTACGATCCGGGTATCATCAATTGAAGATAAGGGAGCACGATATTCCAAAAATAGCTTTCAGGACACGGTGTGGGCACTTTGAATTTCTGGTGATGTCTTTCGGGCTAACAAATGCCCCGACAGCTTTCATGGATCTTATGAATCGAGTCTTCATGCCTTTTCTAGACTCCTTTGTGATAGTGTTTGTCACGCCCCAAAACCGTGGAACGTGACCGGCGCTCAACCGAGTAAACCCGACTGAGCAAGCCTGCCAGATTTCATTCTACCCAAACTAGTTCATGAACAAAGAGGGAATATTATCCCATTTAATCAAAACACTAAGCGATCTTCCACTAGCAACTTTCATTTCATTTCCGTTAATGACTTCATTCAAGGTTTTTCAAAATATTACAAGTTTACAAGTTTAATGAAAAGCATTCTTATCAAATACCAACATTCTAGTCTCGACCCCCAACATCAACCATCACCCATAAACAGTCTACGGAGCCTCTAAATACAGTAGAAGAGTAGTAGGGAAATGCCGGCAACAAGACTCCGGCTATACCTCAAAATGTGATGAGAAAATGAACAAAAGATACATGACATAACCCCGGGATGGAGTGGGGCTCACCAAGACTGCTGGGAAGAGAATACCGCTATCACTGGCCGATGCTGCTCGCTGTGGAACCACCTGTATAATAAAACGATACAGCGCCCCCGGTAAAAGGGACGTTAGAGCCATCGAATAGCACTAGTATGTAAGGCTAAAAGTCCTCTTTCAAAATAGAATGTCCATATAAGCGGAGACAACACATAGAAACAACAAGTCACAATCAACAATATCCAAGTAACCAATTGAAACATAACGATTTTTAAAGTAGGAAAATAGTATATATATACATTTTTGGTTGGGAGATCACTAGCACCGATATTACCATAGTCTTTGTTAGCACGGAGTCCGATCACGCTCGATCGGCTAGGCCATCTCCCTACGGACAATGTGGTTTGACATTGTGATACGAAAGAAAGTTGTCACAAGAGTAGTACCACCATGTGCGCAACATGGAGTCTGATCTCCACCCGATCAGCTAGGCCGCCTTCCCACATATACCGTGTGGGTTGGCTTTTTCTTTTCCAATTCACAGGTATTAGTTTCATCCCACTTTGGGGGAATAGTCACAATTTCACCAATATTTCAATTTCATCCCAAATCACACTCCACTCCTACACCGGCACTTGTAGTTTCAGGTGTGGGCCTTATGACCCATGCTTCCTCGGTCTAGCTAATGATACTCCCAAAAACATTTTTGATTCGATTTAATATTGCACACAAGTGTAGTATAAATACAATTATACAAATATAGCATAAGTGCAACCATGCTTACCTCAATACTTTTCACATTTTATAGTTCTTATTAGTGTTCTCAATCTCTCTCGATAACAGTAGCTCTTTGGCCCTTTGGGCCTTTCACAAGGTTCATCTTTTTCATGGCACGAAGGCCGCATTTGTTTTTTCCCGCATTTTTCATCTCCTTTATTTCCAAGGATCGCCAACCAATATCAATGTACCAAATACTCCGGTAATCATATATTTTCGAGTTTGATGGTAATAGAATCATCAAACACAAGGGATTCTTCCCAAAGAGGGACATGCCAATCAACAATTGAAATACACATTGAAGTTATAAGCAAACAATCACCTCAATTACCCTTGAATTACCCCTTTTTTCCAACATAACAAAAGCACAATTTTCAGCATCGTAATGTGTAAGAACTCGCATTACATTGAATGTATTTATAAGGCAAAGCATTATCTACAACAGCCACTTAGGGGCATAATTCGGGTACAAGACCTTTAGGCCGTTCTATTTATTTGAAGTTAGTTCATAACGATTGGGTCAAGGCTTATTTCATAATTGTTTCACCTTTTCTTATACGATTCATTTCTGTACATCTTTACAGGTTATCAACAAGTAGACATGTTCAATCAAGGCATTCAGTACACATAGAGCAACTAGGAACATTAAACAGATCGATTTCTTCTCACACAATTAATATACTAATCTTCAATTAGAAAGTGACTCAAGGCTATACCATTTTGGTAGAAAAACCACACTTAACTTACAAAGACAATATGGAATCCACTTCCGAGAGAGAAAGTTTAGGAACATAACAAATTGAACCACAAATTAGAGAAGTGATCATAGTTCTAGCTCATTTGAGCATATTCTCAACACTAAGTGTGCATTAAGCTTTTAAAACCATTTTGTGAAAGATCCTACCATCCCTCATCCCATCCTTAGCTCAAGACCTTACCAAATACATTAAGAACTCATGCATGCAAGATATCCACTCCCATACTCATGGATTATCCTTCTAGTGGTCTATCTTAGTTATATCTAGTAATTATGAGCTTGGGCTATAGAACCTTACCTCTTAGGAAGAAGATCTAGGTGCCTTTCTTGACAAATCTTCAAGGTCTAAGCAAGATCCTAGGAGAAATGTTGATGAAGAAACCCTTCTCGCTCTAGGACCCTCTTTCTCTCTCTCTCTCTAAATGTATCAGAAAATAGGCCAAAAATGAAGGGTAGCATATAATATATCGACATGGGGTCGGGTAAGAAAATTAGAAATTTGGAGCCCCGAAACTGATCTGCGATCGCATTAGCAATCGCATAATGGACATGCGGTTCGCAAAATGGACCGCAAAAATGGTCCCAAAAACTGAACATACTGCCTGGGTATGCGACAAGAATGCGGTCCGCATATCTGTTCTGCGGTCGCATAATGCACCGTAGAATTGCTCCTTGCAAAAATCCCAAGGGGATTATGTGACGACTATGCGGCCCGCATATCGATTATGCGATCGCATAATTGGCCGCATAGTTGACCTCAAAATTGACCAACACACTGCTTCACCCTGCAGCGACTATGCGGTCCGCATAGCTATTATGCGACCACATAATGGACTGCAGAAACGCACTCTTCTGAAAAATATTTTTCCTTAACTTTTTAATACATAGATCAATCCAAAGGGTCCGGACCATATTGATAATTGGCACTACGAGATCTCGGGTTTTTGAGCAAAATTTTCACGGGGCCTTACAGTGTTCATTGACGATATTCTTGTGTATTCCCGAAGTCGAGAGGACCATGCTGACCATCTCAGGGCAGTTCTGCAGACTCTTCAACAGCACCAGTTGTATGCAAAGTTTTCAAAATGTGAATTTTGGCTTGAATCTGTCACGTTCTTGGGTCGTGTCATCTCTAGAGAAGAAATTATGGTTGATCCTCAAAAGATTGCAGCAGTAAAGAATTGGCCTAGACCTACCACTCCAACAGAGATTCGCAGTTTCTTAGGTTTGGCCGGGTACTACAAAAGATTTGTGGAGGATTTTTTTCTCTTCCCTCTCCATTAACTAAATTGACGCAGAAAGCGGTTAAGTTCCAGTGGCCGATGCTTGTGAAAGGAGCTTCCAGGAATTGAAATCAAGACTGACTACAATGCCGGTATTGACCTTGCCAGAGGGTACAAAGGGGTTTGTGGTATATTGTGATGCTTCAAGGATCGGGCTTGGGTATGTGTTAATGCGACACGGCAAGGTTATAGCTTACGCTTCTAGGCAACTCAAGAATCATGAAAAGAACTATCCAACCCATGACTTAGAGCTTGCGCCGGTGGTATTTGCACTAAAGATTTGGCGACATTATTTGTATGGGGTCCATGTGGATGTATTTACGGACCACAAGACCCTTCAATATATTTTCAAACAAAGGGAATTGACTCTGAGGCAGAGAAGATGGCTTGAGTTACTCAAGGATTATGATATTGATATTCTCTATCACCCGGGAAAAGCCAATGTCGTGGCAGATGCTCTTAGTCGAAAATTTATGGGAAGTTTGGCTCAGTTGGAGGAGTATCAAAGGTCGTTGGCTAGGGAGGTTCACCAGTTGGCTAGTTTGGGAGTTCTTCTAGCGGACTCCAGTGAAGGCGGAGTGATTGTACAAAATAGAGCTAAATCATCGCTTGTGGCAGAGGTTAAGGAGAAACAATACACGATCCATTGTTGATACAATTGAAGGAGGGGATTCATAAACATAAATGTATGGTTTTTTCTGTTGGCATGGGAGATGGTACACTAAGGTACCAAGGGCGTCTATGTGTTCCAGATGTAGATGGTCTCCGGGAGAGAACAATGACCGAGGCTCACACTTCTAAATATTTCGTGCACCCAGGCCCTACAAAGATGTATCATGATCTTAAGGAAGTTTATTGGTGGAATGACATGAAGAGGAGTGTAGCGGACTTTGTGGCAAAATGTCCAAACAGTCAGCAAGTGAAGGCCAAACACCAAAGGCACGGAGGGTTGGCACAGAACATAGAAATTCCAATGTGGAAGTGGGGAATGATTAATATGGACTTTGTGGTAGGAATACCGTGCACCCCGCACAAGGTGGACTCAATTTGGGTAATCGTGGATCAACTCACGAAATCAGCTTCTTGCCAGTCAAATCTACCTACACAACAAAACAATATGCTCAGTTGTATATCAAGGAAATAGTGAGGTTGCATGGAACCCTAGTTTCCATCATTTCTGACCAAGGGGCACAGTTCACGGCAAATTTTTGGAAGAAATTTCAGCAAGGTTTGGGTACTCAAGTGAATCTTAGTACAACCTTTCATCCATAGACCGACGGGCAGGCAGAGCAGACTATTCAGACACTTGGGGATATGTTGTGCGCTTATTTTTTTGACTTCAAGGGTAGCTGGGATGATCATTTACCGCTTGTAGAATTTGCCTACAACAACAGTTATCATGGTGGTATTCAGATGATACAGTTCGAGGCTTTATATGGTAGGAGATGTAGATCTCCCATTAGGCGGTTCAATATTGGGGAAGCCGAATTGATAGGACCAGACCTCGTGCATCAGGCTATGGAGAAGGTTAAAATCATAAAGCAACGATTTAAAACTGCTCAGAGTCGTCAGAAGTCCTATTCGGATATTCGTCGTAGGGATTTGGAGTTCAAAGAGGATGATTGGGTATTCTTGAAGGTCTCCCATATGAAGGGCATAATGCAGTTTGGAATGAAAGGAAAATTGAGTCCGAGGTATGTCGGGCCGTACAGAATCATTCAGAGGATTGGTCAGGTGGCGTACAAGCTCGAGCTACCACCTGAGATGTCATTAGTGCACCCGATATTCCATGTGTCTGTGTTGAAGAAGGTAGTTGGAGATCCGTCGGCTATTGTACCAGTTGAGACTATAGAGGTTAATGAAGAGCTGTCATATGAAGAAATTCCAGTTTCTATTCTTGATAGGCATGTCCGAAAGCTAAGAAATAAAGAAATTGCCTTGGTAAAAATGTTATGGAGAAACCAGCAGGTTGAGGAGGCCACTTGGGAGGCCGAGGGAGAAATGGAGAAGAAGTACCCTCATTTGCTTGAATAGCTATGTAATGTTTCTTTGGAAGTGTCGCCTATGAATTTTGTATCACACGTGCAGTTAATGTTAGAGGTATTCCTTTTGGTTATATGTTGGTTGTGAGGCTACTGTCGGTGTTGTCTTGAGTTCTGTTATGTCACTATGTTATGTATATGTTTCTAGGATTGGTTCTTGGATTCTCTGACAGGTGGATAGACCTAATTGCAAAGGAAACTCTGCCAAAATTTTTAGAAAAATTGAGAGTTAGTAAAAATATGGGAGATTTATCTGTGCGAAAGAAGAGATAGGTTATGTTATTTGTTGGGAGGTAGAACTTACTTCTCACTCGAGGGCGAATGATCCTAAGCGGGGGAGAATGTAAGGCCCCGGAAAACTTTGCTATGTAATTCAAGGTTTTGTGGTGTCAAGGTAGGCTAATACGTTGCATTTTCGGAATTTTGGGTTGAACAATGCGTTGGGGAGTTGAAATTTTTCGTGACGGCTAGACCAGGCTGGACCTGGCTTTAAGCTGGTGAGGCCTGGATAAAGCCAGGGTGGACCAGGCTTTAAGCTGGCGAGGCCTGGATAAAGCCAGGCTAGACCAGGCTTTAAGCTGGCGAGGCCTGGATAAAGCCAGGCTAGACCAGGCTTTAAGCTGGCGACGCTAGGTCTGTAGCCCGGTTTGGAATCTTGGACTATCCATTCTTCTATCTTTATAACCCGACCCAACTTCATTAAATACACGCGATGGGTCAGTTTTGAGCAAAAGTTTGATGTTATAGAGTGAGAGAGAGAGAGCCCTAGAGTGAGAAAGTGATCTTCATTAAAGCATCCTTCAATTCTTACACAAATCTTTGAAGATTAACAAGGAAAAACACACTAGATTTTCATCATTGAGGTAAGATTCTACACCCTACCCTTAATTTCAAATTTTAGCTAAATATGGGTAATTATCAAGAAAGTTTGTGGGTATTGGAGTTATTATCTTGCATGCATGTATGATAATAGGGTATAGGCAGATTGTGAGCTAAAAATGTTAAAGATTGGGGTGTGAGATGTTATAATTTTACACAAAAAGAGTCTTGAAACACAATGCACACATAATGTTTGGTTAGAATGCTCTAGTGAGCTAGAATTACACATCATTCTCCTAATTTTTGGTCCCATTTTGTGTTATTTCTAAAATAGATTGAAGTTGCTAATTCCGGAAACCCCCCTCCCCCCTTAAAGTATTAAGGAAAGCTCTATTGAGGTATGTATGTCTAAACCCCCTTCTTCTTAGAATCGAACCCCTGACATCCGTGAAATTGGTGTAAGTCCCTAAATTGATCATGCTAGAATCGTTTGCCCTATTGTGTTGTGTTGATAGATTCATGTTCAATGACTGTCTAACTGTTTAGGGAAAAGGGCTAGATATAACCCTTTACTATTAAATATTGTCCACATATGTCCTCCGTTATACTATAGGTCTAAATCTATCCCTCCCGTTAGCAAAGTAATCAAAAATACCCTTATTTCTAACGGTGCTCCACAATGGAAATCCAAATCCTACATGGTCTAACATTTGGGTGAGGTGGATGCCACGTGTCATGCCACATCACCATCTTCTTCCCCTCCCATTTCTTCTTCCCCTCATACCTTGCAATGGAGGTTCCAAAGTTTATTTCTTTCAAATCTGGACCAAATTACTGTTAATCTCAAGATCTCACAAGAGTTGACTTTTAAAATTGTAAGTAACTGCTTTTCAAAGCAATTCATCAAGTGATTCCCTTGTGCCATGGCTTTTCTCGAGCTGTGCCGCTTTAAGCAGATGCTTTTCTTAGTTCTAAATATAGTAAGAGTATGTGCATAAATGCTGGAACCCATTTCCTTCCACTCCTCAACATCAGCAATCCACGTCCTCTTCCTATCTTCTTCCTCAAAACCAATCCCAACAGTGTTATTTATTATAGCCTGGTAAGTCCCAAGAGAACCGGCTCTTTCACATTCTTCGGCCTCCTTCATCCGATGCTCCATGTCAATCTCCAAATCTTTGCAAAGCCAAATCTTGTTAGATTCAGAGATTAACAATAATTTTGTCCAGATCTGAAAGGAAAAAATTTGGAACCTCCATTTTAAGGTATGAGCGGAAGAAGAAATGGAAGGGAAAGAAGATGGTGAGGTGGCATGATACGTGGCATCTACCTCACCCAAATGTCAGACCATGTAGGATTTGGATTTTCACGGTGGAGCACCATTAAAAATAAGGGTATTTTTGATTACTTTGCTAACGGGAGGGGTATATTTAGACCTATAGTATAACGGAGGACATATGTGGACAATTTTTAATAGTAGAGGGATATATCTGGCCCTTTTCCCAACTATTTATCATGTTTGATCTTCCTATGTGAGTATGTTTGACAGTGTAGAATATGTGTGAGGAAGGTTAAGAACTCAAATCAAGAAATTGAATAAAGGTTTTGTGCCAATTCATATGTGAAGTCTCTGTATGATTAGAATTCCCGAGCTTTTCCCTTGAGTATGAACATGCCTTACATGATAGGCCTTATTGTTGCTATGATGATGTTGTTGAACGTGTAAAAAGGGAACTTGAATTGTGAAATGCGGCCAAAGGCCAAGAACGATGTGATATATGAGGTTACACGTGCCATGTAATGAAAGATTGAAAGGAAATGTGAATTGAGATGAACAATTGAAAGGATGATGTCTCAAGTGAGATGGACTAGCCGATCGGGCCGTGATCCGATACCATGTCGCACACATGGTGGTGATTGTGCTGAATTGATTTAAATTATGGAAATGGATGATGTCTCAAATGAGATGACCTAGCCGGTCGGGTCGAGATCGAATTCCGTGTAGGAACATGGTGGTATTGTGGATTGTGGCACATGGCACTGAGATTATCAAACCTAAATAAGATGGGAACTTGTCCGGAAATTATGTGATCCTTGCCTGATGTTTTGATAAGTGTTGAATCTCTTATTGTATATCATGACGGCCTCCCTTCTTTATTTCTTATTGTTTCATTGTTCATTCTATTAAGATTGGTGTTTAGCTTTACATACTAGTACTATTCCATAGTGCTAATGCCCCTTTTGCCAGGGGCGCTACACCTTCTAATGGATGTAGGTGGTTCCATAGCCGACAGTGTTGATCGCAGCTAGAGGTGCTTGCCTTCATCTTCCCAGCAGTCTTGGTGAGCCCCGTTCCTTCCCGGGGTCATGTAATACATCTTTTGCTTATATGAATGCCACGGTTTGAGGTATAGCCGGGGCCTTGTTGCCGGCACTTTTGTAGTAATTTCTTTGGTATATACTTAGAGGCTCCGTAGACATTATGTGAGTTGTATGTGGGTGTTGGGAAGTCAAAGGATGATGTTGTGTTTGGATTGTTGTTTCACTAAATAGTAGAGTGTATGTATTTTGGACAACTCAACAACGATGTAATTAATGAAATGGCTTCGTAATGTACTTGTATGATCTCCTATAGTCTAATTAATGAAATCACGCATTCTCTTGAGCATAAATGAGATGGGTAGGAAGTGTCCAGCAAGCTTGCTCGGCTGGGTTCACTCGGTTGAGCGTCGGTCGCGCCTCCCAAACTTGGGGCGTGACATCTACTAAGGAGTCAACACGAGAATGGATTAAAGAGCATTTGCAAATTCTTTAAGCGTAACATGCAAAAAAACAAGTAATGGAGATAACGTGCAAGCGAGACATTAGGAGACAATTACGATAAATATTATTATTTAAATCCCAATTTCTCCTACTTTGTAACCATCTGAAAAACTCTTGAACTCTTACGACTAATATACTGAATTATTACTGAGCAAGAAAAAGATCTTATAGTAGAACTTATTATTCCTCCTCGTCCATTAGTTCACTCTTTTCCCAATCAATAAATTTTCCTTTGGAAAATATTGATGAGATTGAGGCACCCAATGACCCTGCCATTTTTACACCATTATCTTTGGAAGAAAAACACAGGATTTATCAATCATGGCAACACGCAGTGATTATTAAGGTTTTTGGTCGGAAAATTGAACATCAAATACTAAGACAAAAAATATATGCGTCATGGAAACCAACTGAAAATCTCCCTCTAATTGACTTAGGGTCAGATTTTTTCCTTCTAATATTCCAAAAGGAGGAGAACAAAAACCATCCCTTACAAGATGGTCCTTGGTTTGTTCTAAATCATTTTCTATCCGTTCGTCAATGGGAACCTAAATTTAAGGCTTCTGAGACAAAATTAACAACCTCTGCTGGTTGGTTACGATTACCAGAATTACCTACAGAATTCTATGATTATCAAATCCTTCAAAAACTAGGCCAAAAAATTGGTAAGCTACTATCAATGGACACATGCACCTCTTCCACAACTAGGGGACAATACGCTAGATTATGTGTGGAATTTTTACTGGATCAGCCATTAAAGACACACTTATACATTGGCAATCACAAACAAATTATCTTTAATGAAGGTTTAAATTTACTTTGTATTAAGTGTGATCGCATGGGTCATAATCAAAAGACTTGTAATTATCTTATACAAGTTGATCCTTCCGTAGTAAATTCACAAGAGGATCATTTCATGAATAACACTGCTCCCATTTCAAATACCTCTACATCAGCTACTGAAGCATGGAAAATTATTCAATTTCCTAAAAAATCAATCCTCAAAAGGCCTCCTTCCACAGCAAATTACTTGCCCTCAATACAGTCAGTGGAGACAAATGCAATAAGCCAATCAGGTAAGCCTGGGTTTACTAATCCTAATACCCTTCCTTTCACTAATTTAACCTTAGAACATTTCAATAATACTAAGAATATTGCTTCTAAGTTAACCACCTCCCATAACCCCGTCTTAATTAATAATGAATATGCTACTTTACTAGATGAAAAAGCCGATAATGATATTCCATTACCACTTCCAATATTATATAATAAAACACCATACTCCAAGACCACTCAAGTGCAAACCAACTCGGTCCAATCAAAAACATATTGAAACCCTATTATTCCTAC